GGAGGAGGAGGAGGAGGGGGAGGAGGAGGAGGAGGAGGAGGAGGAGGAGGAGGAGGATCGCGCGCCGCGCCGCAACATGGGTTGGTCTTCCCCCGCGGAGCGGCACGCGGGCCAAAAGCTTCCGGCCCCGGCCACGAAGTTGGCCGCTTGCGGGGCGCCTCGCCATCGCTCGGACGTCCATTACCCGCGCATGCTTCTGTTTCGTGCGTGCGTTTTTATTGTTGGTTCGCAGGATGATCCAGGATGCTCCTCAATGGTCCTCGCCGAAAAAATGAAGGGGCACTGGGACACACAAAGAAATACACACAAATAACAGGATCCCCATGTTTTCGCATATTTCCTGGGTTTCTGTCTTCCCCCCACTTCCTATATTTTCCCATATTTTCCTGGGAGTCGACGATTAATTGTGTCTGTGTGTGTGTTTCCCCTCCTGTCTCAATGGTCCTCGCCGAAAAAAAACAGGTACACGTCCGAGCGATGCCAAGCTATTGGCCTGCCCCTCAGGAAGGCCTACGCAAGCCTCAAAGCGTTGGAGGCGGCTGGGGGGGGGCCGAACTGGGTGGAGCCCCACAAAGTCGGTGAGGAGGGGGATGAAGCCAAATCCGTTCAACAGTCCTCAGACCCCTCCCGGGGTTCACTTGGCGCAGTGTTGCAACTTTGATCCATTTTTTACAGCCTCGGAGCCCGAAAACGGACCCTGGGCGCCGAAAAAGGCAGAAACCCTTCCCGAACCCAGACCTCGAACCTGCTCGCCCTTCCTGTTGGCCAGAACCAGTGCTGAGCCACCTCAGACCCCCAGACCGCTCTAATCAGAGAGTCTGTTCGCCAACTCTTCGGGCCTACTCGTCCGCTGAGCGGCCAAAGCTCGAGCATGGAGCTCCGCCCTGCTCCTGGCAATATAGGGCGTCAAACCTGCCCTACAGCGGAGTGCACCCTGGCTGGGATGTTGACAAGAATCCAGCTGTGGCGCGGGTGGCTCCCCAGGGCCGCCAACAAAAAGGCGCCATTACCTCAAGGGTGGCGATATCGGCAGAGTTTCCTCTGAGTCCTTGCCCCTTGCGCGCCCTCCACTAGCTGGCGACATCCGAACCCTACCCCCACCAACCAACGATTTTCCTGAATCGATGGAAGGCGGGGGTAGGGTTCGGACTTCGCCACGTGCTCGACGAGTGCTGGACCCCACCGCCGCCCGGCGCGTTGCCTGAATCGTTGATCGGCGAGGGTAGGGTTCGGATTTCGCCGCCGCCCCTTGCTCGGCGACCGCGGACGTCAGCACGCCGAGCCCGCTGAGAGTGAGCGGGTAGGGGAAGTGCAGCTCCTGGGGCCCGGGCATCGCGCGTGCGAGTCCCACAAGGGATGCCCCCAATGAAAAATACTCCCTCCGACCTCTTCTCTTAGTTCTTGTATATCTACATAGGTGACCTTATTTTGTTAGAGGATCCCCAGGCGGGCTGGCGGTCTCGTCTACGTCTGCCACCGTGACTTCCTAGCATGGACTTCTGCTCCCCATTCCCCTCTTGGCTAGGTGGCCCCGGACTCTGATGCCTGCCGCGCACAGAGCTCCTCCCCGTCCTGTGCGCTCGCCGTGCAGCCCGAATGCTGTCCTGCCTGCCTGCACACGCGCGTCGAGGACGCAGGAGCCCCCTCGGTGTCTGCCCCGCGCTCCGCACCCGTGCCAGACACCGTGCCGACAGGTGCCTCGACCCGACCCCAAGGCAGCGAAGAGGAGCCGACCTGCCAGCCAACAGGCAAGCGGGCCTGCGCTGCCAGGGGTCGCCTTGTCACGACTCGCGGAGGAGAGGGCCGAGAGTACGCACCGCCCCCCGTTCCCCAAACAAACAGCAGTTCACCACTTCACTCGCGAGAGCGCTCCGTGAGCCTCCAGGCAAGTACAGGCATGGTACTCGCCTGTCGTGTCGCCTACTTCTCCGCGCGCGGGGGGGGGCTGGTGCTAGAAGAGCCACGCCAGAGCTTTCAACGAAGCAGCCATAGCCTGCAATATACACATAGCATAGCCCCTGGCGGATGCCGACATGAATGAAGAGCTGCCCTGGAATCCAAACCAGAGGCCTGCTAGATAGGGTCGGACAACATGGGGTCGGAGAATCGCGCCGCACCGCCGATACATCGGCGATGCATCATCGACGCCGGCGATTAACCGGCGACGTCCACGTGAAGCAAATGGGGCACCACATCGAGCCGCGTCGGCGATGCATCGGCATGCGGCGCGATCCTCCAATCTACTCCGACCCCATCTGGGAGGCCTGGAGAAACTCATGGCCAACGCAAAGGCCTGCCGATAGCGCCTACAGTCAACCCGTATCACAAGGATTCGCGGTAAGGGTGCAGAGGCCTTGGAGGCCCATGTGAACGTTTTCCGAACGAGGTTGGCCAGCAAAGTCGCGAAGCATGGCCCGGAGGGGCAAGGATGCTAGGGTACCCTTGGGCAGATTGCCCATCCTTATTCTGCGGTATGGCTGTATGTGCCCACGAAGGACACTCACACACCGCATCCAGAGGACGGGGACCCCGCTTCCGCCGCACGTTCTCTTCTGGCGGTGCGCGGGCTGCGCAGGCCGCAACCAAAACCCAGCGTCAGGCCCCGCACAGACCAGCCCCAGGCCCCCCTGCCCCCAGCGTACATTCAGGTCGGGCTTGTCCTCCTACAGGAGTGGTTTGGAAGAAGACTAAAAACTAGCCAACAAATATTCACTGCGTGGAGCTCCCCATATAGGCGCAAGAGTTTTCGAGCGTAAACGGGCTTGAGTATTGACGGTCTGGAGGTGCATCTACATGTGAATGAGTTGGAGTGTGAACAAGACTCAATCATATGAGTGCGTCTCTGCGCATGAGCCTGGGGTCTCCTGGGGCCTCTTGCAACCTCCTTGGGCTTCCTGGAGCCTGGAGCCTCTTGGCGCCTCCTGGGGCCTCTTGGGGCTTCCTGTTGCCTCCTGAAGCCTCCTGGAGCCTCGTGTAGCCTCCTGGGGCCTCCAGGAGCCTCCTGGGGCCTCCCGGGGAGGATTCGTGCCCCAGGAGATGCCCAATCTGTAGGAACGGACGGAAACAAGGCAGGATTGGAGCCGCAAGGGAGGGGCACTCTACAGGAACACAGCAAAACACCAGGGACTCGTGCCCCAGGGCAGGCCCAATCAATAGGAGCATACGCAAAACACGTAGGAGTGGATGAATATGAATATAACGAATACGAGTCTGAGTATGGCTGGGTCTAAGTACGAGTGAGTCTGGCTACGAGTGATTCTCAGGGTGGGTGGGTCTGAGCGTGTGTGATTCTGAGTGAGAGCAAGTCTGAGTGCGAGTGCGTCTGAATCTGAGTCTGATGAGTATGAGACTGAATATGAGTGGGTCTGGGTACGAGCGAATCTGACTACGAGTGAGTCTGAGGGTGCGTGGGTCTTAGCGTGAGTCCGAGTGTGCGCAAGTCTGGGTGTGAGTGAATCCGAGAACGAGTATGATGAGTACAAGACTGAGTATGAGTGAGTCTGAGCACGAGTGCCTGTGGGCATAACTGAGCCTGGGGCATCCTCACAATATGCCCCCCCCCCCCCTGGGGTGCGAAAGCTAGCGCCTCGTCCGAGACATCCTCAGAATCAGCTCTGAACGCAGACGAGCCTGGCCAGCAAGACCAGCAAACCGCTCGAGACATCCCCACCATATGTGTCCACAAGGGTGCGAACACCAGCGCCTCGACCGAGACATCCTCAGAATCTATTCCGACCGCTGAGGACGTTGAGCACCAAAACAAGCACCCCGCTCGAAGCATCCCCACACTCGGGGCGCGAACGGAAAAGTGATAGTCCACCTGGCGCCCCCCCCCCACGTTGGGGACGAACACCAGCGCCGCGCTTAAGACATCCTCAACATCTGCTACGAAAACGAAGGCTGTTGCGCCACGATGCAGGCGAACGGCTCGAAACATCCCCGCCATTGTGGCGCGAACGGGGGAATGCGATACCTCCTGGCGGCTCCCCCTTGGGGGCGCTGAAACCCGCGCCTCGCTCAAGACAACATCAGAATTTGCTCCGCCATCATCAACATCAGCAGCAGCATCATCACCTCCTCACTATCATCAGCATCATCATCGAAATCATCACCAGCAACATCACAACTTCCACGATCTTCATACTCATCATCATCAGCATCGGTACCACCGTCACCATCACCAGCATCAGCATCATCGATGGCATCGCCATCATCAGCAGCATCCTCATCATCCCCAGCAGCATTGTATCATAACCAAACATGTCACAACCTGGTATAACACACCCGAACATAACATACCATAACATTACATGTCATAACATCACATGCCACACCATAACATGCCATACCATACCACCTCATACTATACCATAACACAACACATCATACCATATGATAACAAGCCACAGCATGCCGAACACCACAACACAACCTAACATATAACACCATAACGTACCGTATCATACCATGGCACAACATTACATACCCAAACAGAGCATAGCATAGCATGGCATACCATAACATGGCGTGAGGAGGAGGAAGGAGGTGAAGGAGTTGGCGCGGTCGGAGTAGTAGCAATAACCCCATCCTTCAGATGTGGTGAATAATCGAAATAGGCAACAGAGCACGACACATCGTCATCATACTCTTTTTTACTATTCTTGAATCTTCCTCCCGAGGAGAGAGATGCCCGACTTGAACGTACACTCTCATGATCTACCGATGCAAGAGATTGCCGCAGTCGCCGATGTGCAATTCTGGCTACGGGCAATAACGTTTGCTCAGCGTGTCGCACCGAGAAGGTTCTGGCTCAGCACGCTTCCCCAAACATCGACATCCCGTCCCAGGACGACCAAGAACTCCACTAGGCTCCCAGGCGCAATCGGGGAATAAGAGGTCTCCCAGAGATCTCTGCGGGGCGCCCGGTAGGAGGCCGACGTCCCTAGTGCCTGCAGGAGTGGCGGAGGAGGCTCCAAGGTGGACCCACATGGCTTTACGTTTCTTGCAAAACTTCCGCCGCGGAGGAGGAGCAGGAGGAAGACAGAGTGGGAGGATAATGTTGTTGAAAAAGAGACGGGCGCAGGGCGGAGAAGGAGGAGGGCGGAGGCAGTAGGGAGAAGAAGGCCAGAGGACTGAGGAGGATGCGGAGGAGTAGAAGGAGGAGGAGGACGAGGGGGGGAGGGGGGAGCAAGGCGGCGACGGGAGGGGGCAGGACGAAGGAGGGAAGCCGAGGAGGCGCCCGGGAGGCGGCGCCGAGAAGAGAGAGAGAGCGGCGAGCAGCGGGGGCAGAAGCCTGCATGATGTGCTTGTTGAGGGTGATCAGCGCCGGCCCGACCTTCGCGGGGGGCCCCAGCGGCGCATCGAGCCCAAGGCCGTGCCCACCCCCGGGCAGCTTCCTGGGCCCTCCTCGTCCCCCCGCGCCCCTCCTCGTCCCTCCTCCCGGCTCCTCTTGCCTCCTCTCCTCTTCCTCCTCCCTCCTCGTCCCTCCTCTTCCGTCCCCCCCTTCCCTCTTCCTCCTCAGCCTCCTCCTCATCCTCCCCCTCCTCCTCTTCTCCTCTTCCCTCCTTCCTCGCTACTCATCTTCGTTCCTCCATCCTTCCTCCCTCCTCTTCCTCCTCCTCCTCACTCTCCTCCGCCTCACTCTTCTCCTCCGCCTCCGTCTCTCCTACGCCCACCTCCTCCTCCTCCTCCTCCTCCTCCTCCTCCTCCTCCTCCTCCTGCTCCTCCCCTCATTCCAACCCCTCCCCCCTCCGCCGCCTCTTCCCACCTTGTCCATCCTCCCTCATCATCCCTTCTCCTACTCCCTGTCTCCTCCTCGTCTTCCTCCTCCTCCTCCTCCTCCTCCTCCTCCCTCCTCCTCCTCCTCCTCCTCCTCCTCCTCCTCCTCTCATCATCATCATCATCATCATCATCATCATCATCATCATATCATCATCATCAGCAGCAGCAGCAGCAGCATCATCACCATCATCAGCATCATCAGCATCATCATGAGCAGCATCATCACCATCATCATCATCAATCACCATCACCATGATCATGCATCATCATCATCATCATCATCATCATCATCATCATCAGCAGCATCATCATCACCATCACCATCACCATCATCATCAGCATCAGCATCATCATCGCCATTATCATCATCACCATCATCATGATCATCATCAGCATCATCATCATCAGCATCATCATCATTATCATCATCACTCATCCTCATCCTCCCCTCCCTGCCATCTCTTACTTCAGCCTCACCCACTAAGGGAACAGGCTTCGCAGCACGCTGGAGGCGAGCGAGCAGAGAACCGAGGGACCTCCTCCTTCCCCTCCTCCTCCTCCTCCTCCTCCTCCTCCTCCTCCTCATCCCCCTTTTCTTCTCCATCCCTCCTTCGCTTCATCCTCGATCCATTCCTCCTTCTCCTCGTCCACCTCCTCCTCGTTGTCATTACCGGCCCTCCTCCTCCTGCCCCCCGCCTCACGCAGGAGGAGGAGGAGGGACTATGAAGGACCTCGTCCTCTACGGAGCAGGCTATGTGCTAAGACGCGGTGCGGGTGATATGTCTGATCTCTCTGAACTCCACAGACGCCCGACCGCAGCATCCGGTACTGCACCAGAATACTGGGGACCGTAGACATTCGGCCCATACAATTTCCTCCTCGTAGCCCTCCTCCTCCTCCTCCTCCTCCTCCTCCTCCTCTTCCTCCTCCTCCTCCTCCGCCACCTCCCTCTTCTTCAACCTCCTCCTCCTCCTCATCATCATCCTCCCAAATCCGCCTTTCCCTCCTACTCCTCTTGCTTCTCCTCCTCTTCATCATCAACATATTCTTCAGCATTAACACCAGCATCGTCAGTGCAATCATCATCATCAACAGCATCACCAGCAGCAGCAACAACGACATCATATCATCGTAGCCTTCTCCAGCATGATTACTGCATCCATCATCATCCGTATCACCACTACTTTCCAGCAACGCCATCACCACCATCATCATCAGCAGCAGCATCGTAATCGTCATCCTCAGTAGCATCATTATCATCAGCAGCATCATCATCGCCACCATCATCATCACCACCATCAACATCCGCATCATCATCACCATCGCCATCATCGACGGAATCAGCAACATCATCGCAACAAAAACACCATCATCACGACATCACCACCATCATCATCACCACACACCATCATCACCAGCAGCACCACCACCACCACCACCACCATCATCATCATCATCATCATCATCATCACCATCAGCATCACCATCAGCATCATAATCATCATCATTCTCGTCATCATCCTCATCGTCCTCATCGTCATCATCAGCATCATCATCATTCTCATCACCATCAGCATCAGCTTCATCATGATCTTCCTCACCGTCACCATTATCAGCATCAGCATGCATCATCATCAGTTTCTTCATCACCTCCGCATCGTCATCACCACCACCATCGTCATCATCAGCATCACCATCAGCATCGGCATCAACATCATCACCATCATCATCACCAGCAGCATCAGCATCATCATCATCATCGTCGTTGTCACCATCGTCATCATCGTCCTCGTCCTCCAATGCCCCCGCTTCATCGCCGTTCTTCTCCACCCCATTGCCCCTCCTTCTCCTCCTCCTCCAGGCCGCCTTCCCGAGGCTTCCTCGCTGCCCTCGTATTCACGAGGAGCCCTACCGTGCCCCTCCTCTCCGTTCCCCTGCTCCTGCTCCTCCCCCTCCTCCTGGCTGCGGTCACGTCCCCACCCTCCTGCTGCCCTCTCCTCCTCCGCAGGAGTGGCCCTGGGCAAGAGTGGCCTCTGGCGAGCGGCCCTGGAGGGCCGCGCGGGGGGGGGAGCTCGAGCAACGCAACCCCAGCGCACCAGCCAGCGCTGGAGGGACCCTCTGTGAGCCCGCTTCAAGGGCCACTCCGGCGAAGGGCCACTCAGACGCCTAGCAGATCTTGCCTCTGCTCATCCTCGTCCCACCGGCGTAAGCCAGGCAGACACCTGCGAGGCAAGCGCAAAACAAAATCCGCTGGCAGGCACACGCGCACACACACACACACACACACACACGCACACACACACACGCGCGCACATACACACACACACTCTCCTGTGCTGCCCGCCCCGCTGCGTTTTGAGGCGCCCTGGGGGTCTGGGCCATCATGAAGAGGGCAACCGTCGACAGCACCTGCAGGGCAAGTGCGAATGAGCAGGAAGAGGGCGGTGAGGGTGATGAGGAGGGGCGGGGGGCAAGGATTAGAAGGGTGCGGGGGAGAGGGGGAGAAGGAAGACGTGTCCTCCTGCTCTCCAGAATGGTGGGGAGGAGATGGAGCAGCGAGGGAGGAGGGTAAGGAGAGGGAGCCAGGCAGGGAAGGGGCGAGGGGGATGATCAGAAGGATGGGAGGACGACAGAAGGAGGAAGGCGTTGAGGGCGGGGAGGAGGGTGAGGAGGAGCCACAGAAGTTGGGAGGATGTGTGGGATGCGAAGGTGGGGACGAGGAGGGGAAGGGACGATAGGGGGAGCGAAGGAGGAGAGGCAGGGCGCATGGAAGGATACGGTGTAGGAGGAGGAGGAGGATGAGGAGGAAGAAAAATAAGAAAAGGGGTTAGGGGGAAGAGCAGGAGCAGCACCAGCTCACAAGAGTAAGGCTCGGACACGGATGACGAGGGCCGAGACCACCCTGGGGGGCGCTCTACGGACACGAGGGCCACCGGGTCACGGGCTACGCCCGTGGCGAGACCAGCAGCCTAGGACGGCTGGGATTACAGCTCCGACGGCGAGCTTGGACCCGATGCCGTGCCCTGCAGCAGTGGTCAGTTCACACACCAAGAGCGCAAACAGCGTGAGCTACATCGCGATACCGACAAGCTCAAGCTTGCATACGAGCCAGATGAGAAGAAACTGCGCAAAACAGAGAAGCATGTTGCAGCCCAAGAGGAAGACGATACAATGCTAGAATAGAACTACGGCGTGGACGTAGAGAGGCACGACACGGAACAATGAAAGTAGGGTACATACCCAGCGAAGCACAATGCTGTCCCAGCAGCATCAGTCAAGCAGGCACTCAATACAAACCCATGGCCGACCCTACACGAGGCGGGGAAGCTAGACCGGATATTCCGCGAGACTCCGCCTTGGACCAGAGGAACAAAGAACAGACTGGCAAGACGTACCGCCGTCTAGCCGCGCCAAGAAAAACAAGACGACTTGGCCGCCGAGGCTAACCACATCCCTGAAGATTGTTGTGGCCAACGGTGACAGGCTTTGAGAGGGAGGCTTTGAGGAACATATGGCCCTCCCCTAAGCAAGAGGACACCCTCCCTGCCGAGTATCGCGGCCTATGACGATTGGGCCCCCGCGGGCGGACACGTAGCAAGCATTATTCAGCCTAGAGACGCCGACTGCGCGACGAGCTCTCTGCTGGCGGCAACGAGACACATACCACCCTCCTGAACTACAAGACATGCAGCGTTTCCTCACCTTGTTCCACTTCCTCCAATTCACCATCACCCTCCTCCTGCTCCTCCTCCTCCTCCTCCTCCTCCTCCTCCTCCTCCTCCTCCTCCTCCTTCTCCTCCTCTGTCTCTACAGAGCTGTGGCGGATGCGGGAGGTGATAGGGAGGAGGACGTGAAGCAGGGCGGAATAAGGAGGACAAAGGTTGACCTGAACTCGGGTGAAAAGCGTTCTCGCTCAGATTGACAGGAGGACAGCAGACCTCCGACGGCCTGTGTGCTGTGTGATGTTCTGCTTACGCATAGTGCGGGGTCCCTGGAAATCTTGGTCCCCTGGTCCCCTCCTCCTCCTCCTCCTCCTCCTCCTCCGACTCCTCCTCCTCCTCCTCCTCCTCCTCCTCATCATCCTCATCATCATTCATCATCATCATCATCATCATCATCATCATCATCATCATCATCATCATCATCATCCTCCTCCTCCTCCTCTCCTCCTCCCCCTCCTCATCCTCCTCCTCCTCCTCCTCCTCCTCCTCCTCCTCCTCCCCGGAGCCGGCTTCTCATCCCGAACATCGTCCTGACACACACACACACATTCCGGCGGCCCCAGGGCCCGAAATGGGCCACCCCCGCTGGAGAGCGAGGAGCAGCACCAGCACCGACGCATGCACGGCGCCGGAGGTCCCGGGAGGACCTCTGGGGAGGCGGCCGAGAGCCCGGACGGCCACCTCGGCCAGGAGCCTGGAGGCGTGGGCGCAGATCCTGGCAGCAGGCAAGAGCTGGGCAGCTGCAGTGCGCGGCGCCGCCGGTGCACCCCAGTGTTAGAAGAAGGTCGGGCGTGTCCCCCTGCGGGCGGATTTTGGACGCAGAATGGAACATTGTCAAAACATATTCAAACATAGTCACAACAACTAATCGAAGAATCTTCCCCAGCCTATTCTTCAACTATTTGTAAATTGAATGCTCCTCCTGTAGAGGGACAGGCCCGACGTAAAGCTATGCACATACACCGATTCTGGCCAGGCCCCGCCTCAGCCCAGGGTCGGTGCATGCGCCCTCCAGCCTCGGCCAGGAAGGCAGATGCACCGAGCCTTGGCCAAGGAGGGGCCTTGCCAGGATTAGAGGAGGAAAAGAGTAAACGAGAAAGGTCGAGAAGGAGGTGGAGGAGGACGAGGAGGAGGGAGACAGGGAGGATGAGGGCGAGCTCGAGGGGAAAGGAGGAAGGAGAGGTCGAGGAGGAGGAGGAGGAGGAGGAGGAGGAGGAGGAGGAGGAGGAGGAGGAGGAGGAGGAGGGGGAGGACATGGGGAGGGTCTTGACGAAGCGGCCGATCCCCCGGCGGCCCTCGAGGAGGAAAAAGGGCGGAGGACGAGGGCATGACGACCGACGGCGACCCTCCCCCCGCACGTGCCCCCGTGACATTCCCCCCCGGGGGCGCCCTGGCCGCGTGCCACGCCGCCGCCCCGCTCAGCCCGCTCGCGCGGAGCCTCTTCCGGGCGAACCTGGCGGGCGAACTGCTGGGGGGGGAGGAGGGGGGGGGAAGGACGCGCAGGAGAGCACTGGGAGTTGGCGGCGAGCGAGGGGGGACGTAAGAGGGAGAAGGCCCCCATCAGAAGGCGGCGGGGCTTTTCGGAAGCCCTCGCGCCTTCTGAGAAGTGCTCTGTGCCTTCGCGGAAGGCTTCGACAACTTCTCAGAAGGCCGGGGAACTTCCGAGCCGTCTTAGAAGACCTTCTCCTTCTCAGTTCCCCCCCTCGCTCGCCGCCGAGGGAGGGGAATGGGAATATCAGAAGACGGAGAGAACGCGTTTCACGGGCGCTTGCCTTGGGAACATTCGGCGGCGCGTTTCGAACTGGGGGGTGGCCCCCCACCGACACTCGGCGCCGTCGATCAAAACCAAGGGGACCCCCCTCCCCCCCAAACCCCCTCCCCTCCCGAACCTACCTCCCCCCCTGCCAAGACCTCCCCCCTCCCAAGGAGGTGGGGAAGTTGAACCATCCCCCCCGTCTGCGCCGGCGCCGGCGGCCGCCAGCAGCACCGACGGCGGGGACGCAGCGACGATGACCAGAGGCAGCCCAAGGGGGGGGGCTTCAAGCCCCCACCCCCGCCCCCCCTGGCGCCGGGGGCTTCAAGCCCCCCCCAGCCCCCCCCTGGCGCCGGCGCCGGCGCCCGCGCTGGCGCGGCGACGGCGGGGACTCAGCGACGATAACCACCACTGCCAGCACCACCGCCACTACCACCCACCACCGACTCATCCCACCACCACCACCACCACCAACAACAACAACAACAACCCACTACAGAACCACCACCACCACCGCAGCCACCACCACCACCACCACAACTCACCATCACTACCACCACCACGAAAACCCACCACCACTGCACAACCACCACAATCTACCACGCCACCGCCACCACCGCCACAACAACCACCACTACCAGCGGCACAACCCACCACCACCACCACCACAAACCACCACACCACCACCACCGCCGCCGCCGCCGCCACCACCACCAGCACCACCTCCACAAACCACCGCCACCAGCACAACCCACCACCACCACCACAAACCACCACCAAGCCACCACCACAACCTACCACCACCACCACCACCACAAACCACCACCACCACACCACCACCACCACCACCCACCACCACAACCACCACCACCACACAAACCACCACACACCACCACCACAACCACCACCGCCACCCACTACCACAACCCACCACCACCACCACCACCACCACCACCACCACCACAGTCGTCCTCGTCGACGCTCCCCGCCGCCGCCGCCCGCCGCCGCAGGCGCCGGCGCCTGCCCAGAAAAGGAAATCGTCGTCCCCGCCGCCGCCGCCGCCAGCCGCCGCCGACGCAGGCGCTGGCCCGAGGAGAGGGAGAGAGGAGAAGTAGGGGAGGAAGGGTGTGGGGGGGGGGTTCGAACCCCCCCCCCTCTGTCATGGGAGGGCTGGGCTGGGGTGGGGTTCGAACCCCCGCCCCCCCCCTCCATCCCGAGGGGGGGTCCGGTTCCAACCCCCCCCCTCCAAGCGACCACAGAACGCGCTCTTTCAGAAGACGATGTTCTACCAAGCTAGTTACCCCACACTCAGAACACCTTCGGCGACACGACGAGAAGCAGAGTGCGAACGTGCGAGATGCCATGTCATACACAGAGGCTGCGCCGAGCAGGCAACAGACCGAGACGAAGAGCGTGCCAATGTGAAGACGAACCCTCACTCCCGCAGAAACGAACACTTCGAACACGGGAAAGCGAAGAAGGGAAGGAACAGCAGGAGGACGGCGGGGGGGGGAGCGACACATAAGGGATGGAAGGAACGAGGGGGCTCAGGTACTGTGGTCGAACGCTTCCGGCTCTGGGCAAATTCCCTGGAACGAGCGGGACTACCACGCCCACAAACGGCCCAACCTGAGGAGGGCAACGGGAAGATGTAAACGGAGCAGCGCGGGACAGAAACACCACGGTGGTTGCAGGTGATGGTGGATAGGGGGCTACTGAATGAGAGGGACAAAGGTCGAAGAAGAGAAATACAACGACACATACTGTAGAGAATCCGAAGGGCCGCCTTGCGGGGCCACCAGGCTCCGAGGATCAGGCTTGCTGCTCCCTGCTTCAATTCCAATGTCCAGTCTCCGATGTTACAATTATGTGTGCTATTCCGACTGTGAATAATTGAAATCCGCGCGAGGGGAGCCCTGGTTACCTTCACCTGGGGGGGGGTCAAAATTTCTTGGGTGTCCTGGGATACAAATGAAAATCGTGGGATTCGTGCCCCCGAAACCATAATCTGTTCAAGTTACGCCATAGTCGCGCCCAAGAGGCCATAATCCTTCGTAAAGTACACCGTGTTCGCGCTCCCGAGCAGCATCTATAAGAATGTGATGGTATTTAGATAATGTTAGCATGAGCGCGCGGACAGGACATTTGTATTTTTTGGTGGCTTTCATGCTGACATGTTTGCAAACACACTGTGCTTGGCACGATTGTGACATGGACGCGCACGTGATGACGTTGTGGTATTTGTTGTAAGAGTTTCTTGGAAGCTTATGATTTTTGATAAACGAGTTTGCGCGCATAGTATTTTTTGCCGGATGGCGGGGGGGGCGATACCGGCCTGGCTGGGATAGTATGACTTCATATCTAACATGGACGATTGGGGCAGAATCATATGCACATTGCAATACGAAAAAATGTGACCGTTAACTCGGGGGGGAATCTATTCTTTTTTAGAAACGAAAATCGACGTGGTGCAAACTTCATGGTGCAGTATGTGTGGAGCAAGCTATGCGGAGCAAACTATGTGGTGCAAGATCTGTGGCACAATCTATGTTGTTTAAACTATGTGGTGCAAGCTACGTGGGGTAAGCTATGTGGCGCAAGCTAGGTGATTCAAGCTGTGGAGTGCAAGCTGTGGAGCGTAAGCAATGTATTGTGAGCTGTGTGATTCATTTTTTTGTGTCCGTCTTTCCACAGACCCGTATTCACTGTCCACAGGCTTACGGCACTGGGCTCCCGCAGGAGCCGAAAAGGTGACTCGGCCTTCCGCCAGGCCACGGCCTCCATGGTGCCAGCTATGCGGTGCAAGCCATGTGGTGCAATCGACGTGCCGCAAACTGGATGGTGCAAGCTACGCGGTGCAAGCCACGTGGTGCAACCTGTTTGGAGCAAGCTGCGTGGTGCAAGCCATGCGGTGCAAGCCACTGTGGTGCAAGCTGTGCGGTGCAAACTGTGCGGTGCAATCGACGCGGTGCAAGCTGTGTTGTGCAAGCTGCCGTGCGCCGCTACGTGCTGCAAACG